GAAGACGGGGTGGGAGAGAGAGAGGGATGGTAGGAAGGAATGCAGGATCTAGAAGAAGACAGCAACAAAGGAGTGGAGAAACGAGGGGAGGGAGGAGGAGTGATGACTCATCGTGCGAAATACAAGATGGCTGATTTACATTCAAGGTGAATAGACTGTTATTTGACAAAATGCAATAATGTCATCCTCATTCAGAATAAAATCAGAACTTGTCATCATCTGTACCATTCACCTCTCATTCACAGCTAAGACTGTCTCATCTGGTGGACTTCATGGAATAGATGCTCACTCCTGGGTGCCAAAGGTCATCACTGTTTTAACAGAAAGAGAACAGATCCATCCTTTCTACCAGTTCTACCATACACCATGAATTAACTGACCCAGCTACCAGCTGACCAGTACAGAAAATCTGTTGCTTCTGCCTCGTGTTCTTCTCTTTTCCATTCTGTTGTGTGTTTGCACCAATACGGTTCCCCAATTAACTGTGAGCTTGACAACCTATCGCCACATCTAATTATTGCTTAAAAGGTCAAAACCAAGAAGACAAAGCATGTTATCTCAGATACCGCTGCTCTAGTTTTTGATGGATCTTGCATGTATTGTCCCCATGAAGAGAATTTAATTAAATGTGAGAATGTTTAATTTTCACAGTCTGGAATCCACGCTCATCCAGCAACACAAAAATTCAACTTGCCCAGTGAGGGCACTGTAATGAAAGGTCAAAATTTTAAGGTCAAATTTCAACTTTTATCTCTCATTTCTTCTCATGTTCCCTTTATTTGTGACTGGACTGCTTTCAGTCTGGGGTGATTTAATTGCTTCATTACCAGCCATTTAATGTCGCCTGTTGTGGCTTCACTGCAAAAGCCACACTGTTCTACAAACCATCTGCCTGTACCGCTATCAATTTAGGCTGTGAAGCAACACTGCATACAAGTAGTGTAGCAGCCGCCATTCTGAAGAGTGCAGTGCACAACCTCACACTAAAGCCTGACTTTAAATTCTATCATTCTATGTCAAAACCACAGAGCTTAAAAGAAGGAGAAAATGCAGTGACTACAGTAAGATAAGTGAGAGAGCGCCGATCGCTGTCTCCACCCAACTGTGAAAAGGTTTGCCACACACTGCTTTCTTGGAGAGGTCGAAACAACTGTCTCTGAAACAGTCCAGACAACTTAACTGTTTACAGTTTCAGTCAGATGAAATGAGGTGGTAAGTGTAGTGAAACATGAAAATGTACTGTGATATTTGATTATCTCTGCAGTACCATAGGTAGGTATAACTGAAGTCACAGTACTGAGCACAATGTACTCCAATAAACAAAATCTAAAATAAATGAAATAAGTATCCAGTACTTGAAAATATAAATAGGAAAGAGGTGTTACAATGTCTACAGATACTGAGAAAACTCAGACACAAGCAAAGCCAAATTTGCATATACTTACTCCCTACAGAGACAGATAATTGCACACGCGCTATAATCAACAAAGCCCATCATTACATCATATGGGCATGAAGGATGAGACATAAATACTATGTCTTACCTTACCTCATCACTCAGTGTCATCCTGCTGCATCTCTCTGGTGACTATATCCAAATCCTCAGGTTGCCACCAGCAGCGCGGCAGGCTTCAACAAAAACAGTAACCACAGCTGCAGCAAAATGACTTTACATTTGGGTCAGTGTGGTGAGGTGACGGAGGAAAAATAAAAACCAAAGGAGTTAACGTCTGTGAAAGTCGAGAAGGAAAATAAAAGTAAAAGAAAGTGAAAAAGAAAGCTGGGAAATCAGGACAGATGGTCCCCCCCCCCAAAAAAAAGTCATGAGGGGGTCAGTTGATTCAGCAGCAAAATTGCTCTCATTTCTTTCTCCCCTTTCTTTCCATCACTGTGGGTCTCTCTCTCTCCATGGTATAATCTCTTCAGGCTGCCTCTGTTATTTCTCACCCTCCCTCCCTCACTTAACATCTGGGGATGTGATTTCAGTTTAGTTTTGCTAAAAGATATTATGCACAGCAAGGGCAGAAAACAGCAAGTCACAGAAAGAGTCATTTAGGTTTATAAATGGAAGTTTTATTATTATTATTATTTCCACATCAGAGATGTGCACCTTCTTTCTGAGAGGTAAATGAAAATACAGATACACCTGCTAAATCTGAGCGTTACATACAACTACAATGGCTTGCTCCAAAGTGAGAACACTCATTTGAATTTGGAGTCTAAGGTTGGTACACAGTGTAACTATTTCTTGACAATTTTTGATGCAATGAAGTCGCTGCCCCTGGCTGTTACTAGCCAAGGAATCATTCAAGTATATTACATGTAAAACCAAAAATTGACACGTGAGTTTTAGAGGTGTTCAAGGTACACTTTTAAACTCTGGACAGAGCCCGGCTAATGGTTTCCCTCCGTTTCCTCCCCTTATGCTAAGCTAATCATTTGTTAGCTCTATCATACAGACAACAAGAGTGGTATCAATTCTCTCATCGATCTCTCGGCTTAAAAATGATGAATGTATTTAGGTAGACTTTTAGCTAGGTCAGAAAAAAATGTGTAACAGAAATGCTTAATATCAAGAATTTATTCAACAAGAGAAACTGTGTAAAAATGCGCTTTGGGATTTATTGTGCACATTGTATTTGAGATATAGCACTGTCTTTATGCCTAATATGTATTTATCAGCATATTATCAGAGCTACAGTATTTTTATTCATATACCTCAATGTGAACATTTTTAACAGTACAAAAAGGTCTTGCTGGCATTTGCCATTTCTACTCAGCCATTATACTTCAAAGACAGACAAACCTAGCTACTGACAAAGACAATGAATAAAATACATTCATATTCGTCAGCTGGCTGTAAAATACACTTAAGGCAAAGATTAACCAGTCTTTATGTAAAGATACAGAACACTCCCAAGGGAATTGGGGGCGATTTGAAGACATGGTGAGCGTCAGCCCTTGAATGCATTCACACTTTTGTCTGACTGTAAAAGGGTAATTATATATATCAGGGCAAAGCAATGGAAAGTGGAAAGAAAGGAAGTGAAAAGGCTTGACAAACTACAGCATGGGTTTTCCCACTTGAGATTCCCTGAAGAATTCAAGGAGAAGAGGTGATTTATGGTTTCTGTCTAAACTGATGTAGGGCTTGTTTTATCCTCTCTTGCAGTTCTGCTACTGGGAATCAGACTCCCATTACAGTACCACTCATGCAAACGTGATAAAATATCATGTTGAATGAACATTGTAACATTTACTTGCTACTAAACATTAGCACGTTAAAATTGTGGCATACATGACATTCTGCTCAAAACACACCTCTCACAGAGACACTAGCAAAGCTGTAGACTATCAAGACAAAAATGTCATCTTCCTGTTATTTCGCATGCAAAATAAGCAAGCAACACTATATTTGCAAGACAGCAATATAAATATGTACTACTAATTAATTTGGCACTACTTTGTTAACTTTATGTGATTATACAGCAAGATAAAAAAATAAAATAGAAACATTGCCAAATCCATATTTCTCACCAGCAGACTGCACATTAAAGTGTTTCTGTCACTTATTTTCACCTGGTCCCCAGTGAATGGTCCAGTTGTTACAAAGATGCACTTACTCATTTCCAAGAAAAGAGGTCTCTCTCCATACAACCTCCCTGGCTCGCACTTTAGAAGAGCCCTTGGCTGCAGAAGACTCCTTTGAGTGCTGGTCCATGAAAAGGTTACAACCACTGGGAGCTGCCACAGGAATCAAGACATAGTCAGAGGTGACTGATATGAGGCCAGTACTAAGGTCAAATGATGCCCAAGAAGAGTCAGAGGAGGCAGACGGGCTGGTGTCCACTTTTTTCTCTTGCAATCCATCTCCTCGGTTCATGGTGCAAGAACAACAATGGAGTGAATGGGATGATGGAAGTAGAAAATGAGGAAGTTGAGCAACAGAGAAAATGGATGGAGACAGATGAGGATGGGTAAAGGAAATGAATGTGTGAAACAGTGTCTTCCTAAGGCAAAAGCTTCTAGTGAATAAAAAGAGGAAGGGAAACAGAAGACACTTCCAAATTAGATAAAGGAATGGAATGATATCTATGCACACTCCTACTGGCCAAAAGCATCTCACTCTGCTCCTTTCTCACTAAAGTACTGAAGAGTGAGGAGGTGAACAGAAAACCAAAAAGCCCAAGAGGGAGCATCAAACAAAAGAGGTGGTGATATGGATGTGAAGACAGAAAATGAAAACCACTCACAGACTAAAGAAGTAGTGAGACATGGATACTGGGGGGTGGAATGAAAGACAGGACTTCACTGCTGCTGATGAATACAATGAACACAAACTAAAGGAGTGGCAGAATCCGGTGAAAGGCAAGTGCAGCAGCAGCAGCACTTACAGGCTGATAGCTCACATCTCATTACATCCCATTTTTTTCCCCAAATAACTGAATCATGTGGTAAGCGGATAGAGATGCTGCGGGATGTGAAATCGATTTTAAATGCATGGAGACGCTTGAACTGGTGGCTTCTGTGGCTACATGATAGCAGCAGACAAGAGAGTGCCATCTTGGGTTGCACTGATAAGCGGTTCATTACAAGAAGACTGGCCTGGTCCAAATACAATTAGGGCTTACCACTAAAACCCATTAGGACCCTGATTTGGGAAGGCCAGGTTAGTCTGCCGCCCATGAGTACACTGGGAATAGAGTAAGAGTGGTTCTCCATACAGTAAAGGTAAGTTTACTGAAGAGACTTCACACACAAATTTACATCCTAAGTTTAACTTTTTCAGTGTATTTAAGCATGCGAGTGTAGACCAGCTGCATCGGAGTCAAGACTTTATATACATGAGCGCCAAAGAACCATGATCATAGAACATCTGCAGGGTCCAAGTTCTGAAAGTACAAGAATGAACAGGTATCAATCACACTTGCATAAGAGCGGCAGTGACGGTATAACCACATGCAATCACGGTGCTTTGTGCATATGTAATTCAGCTGACAAGCTTTATAAGAAGTCTTTATTTTAACTCTGAAGAAAACAAGGTTAGAAGGATACAATGTTGAAAAATAAAAAGTCTAAGAGGCCATCTAAAGCAAGCATCTGTACAGAACATGTTTTGACAGTGTTACAATTTATATATGAAATAAAACATTTGTACAAAATACAGATGAGATGTTAAACTAGTTGTGTATTACCAACAAGTTTCAACTGAGTGTTGTCAAGCATTTAATGACCAATTCAAACATGACCATGTGGGTGACAATAGCACAACCAAAGTAAAGTACCGGGTATTAACAGTAAGATGCAGTGCAAAAAAAGAACTAATACTGTAACATAGTGACATGTTTTCTATTTACATTTTCACAAGCTCATAACAAATAACCAGACTGACTTCTCTTCTCAAATGGTATCAGTTGTTATGGTGTAAATCACAACTGTATACTAAAAACTTATCTTTGACACATAAGTGATTTTATAATCTAATATTTAAGGTACTCGCTAAACTAAAAGAGTATTTAACATTGGCAAATACTAGCATACAGGCAAAGATCTGAAGCTAGTAGCTGTTAAATGAAATTCCCCTTTAATTAATGTAACAGACACAGGTGTGATATGTACACAGCACTTACTCCTTTTATCCTTCCTGTTAGGTGGTTACACTGGGAGGAACAGGCCAAATGAAGTTAAAGAAAAAGCAGATAGACATCTGTCAGTGGACATTACATGTCCAAAAAGTGCAAGAGGAAAAAACATTATTGAATATAAGTTTTTTTTGAGAGTCAGTAAATTATAATAGCTCAGCAAAAGCAGCAAAGCATTTCCAAGATAGAAAGGGCAAATCGTACTGTCGCTGCAGGTGAGCTGCATCCCAGAAAGGATTGCTGGCAGGGCTGCATGGTATTCGTTTACAGGAAATCACTACATAACAATGGGCCAGACTTCCAACCAACACATGATGTCACCACGAGTATCCAAAATTTGTTTGAGCAGGTAAAACAAGAACACAGAGCTTCTAAATCGGGGCACACTTCCTTTCTATGAACAGGCCAAAATATTTATTTTAATATCCATGGCAATGAAGAGTATGATGATGATGAATATAAAGAGTGGAAAAGTCCTTGTGGGACAAAAGGGGGCTTTAACAAAACACATCTGCTTCTACATCTGAGTGATTCTGGGCAGTTTTGTTTTTATAAATGTCTAAATGCCTCACAACTAGAGAACTTTCAACCCTTAACTTTGAAAAAGTGTAGGACAGGTAAAAACCAAAGCTGATGACAATAAGGGGGGAAAAGGGCTCAGTAGTAGCTACCTTCTAAGAACTCACTTCTACTCTGTATAGGGCATACAAGTAGCTTACCCCAACCATCACAGCACTCAACATGGCTTGCAACTGTACAGTAAAGCAAAGCAGTGCAGTGAACAGTACCACACACACACAGTATGCTCACAGGTTAGAGGCATGATAGAAACAGCCAGCTCCACAAGACAGCAGCGGAAAAACTAATGTTAGGTCCAAGGGAACACAACACAGCTCCTCCAGAGGAAGCTGCTATTCCTCCTCTATACATGAGCCCAGACAGGCCAGACTGAACAAGCTGGACTAGGTCAGGATAAGGATAACAAGGGAAGGAAACACAACAGCCATAGTCTCTTCAGTAAACAGGCCTTGGTTGTTTCATGCTGTAGTGGGCCTCTGATGCTGACACATATGCAGACTCAGGAAAAAAATCCTCATGGAACTCTGCCAGAAACCTAAAAGAGAAGGTGGGAAAAGAAAGTACAAGAGAAGGAAACTCAGTGAGATATTTTGACTCCAGCAATGTTTATAAACCACTTGTCATCTGACAATCAGTACAAATATGATGGGCTTACATGAAGAAAAAAAAAAACCACAATGACAGGAAAGCATCTCAAATGGTTTTCCTAGATACCCCAGGCTCATTCCACATAAATCCTAGATCTCTTGACCTCAGCCAGAGGGTCTATACAGTATGTCAGAGACAAAACCCCCTCCACCCATCCCTATACCACCAACAGCTATGACAGAAAGACTGAACATGATAATGACCGAGCAACAGTCAGATAGGAAAAGAGTGAAAAATCCGCCCATATCTAATCAGCAGTGAGGAAAACTAATCCAGAATCTTCTTAGTATCTGCTACTTGGCCAAATCCTCTAAATCTTGCCATCTCATCTTAGCTCCACCGGCCTTCCTAATCTCAGTGCAAACAAATTTTCCTCATCAGAGGAGAACTTGAGAATGCTTTGAAAATGAATAACAAGACAGCCTAATGGGAAATAAAGGAGAAGATGCAAGTAACCCACAAAAAGAAAACTTAAGCTAAGAAAGTGCTGATTTAAATTGTTTCTTTGAGCTGGTCCTTCACTACAAATCTGATCCACAAAGACTCACTACAAGGCATTAAACAGTCTTCAATGAATCCTTATTAATTGGAAGTTTTTTGGGTCTTTAGTGCCAGAAATTCAGGCCTGTAGATCAGTAATAACACAAAGCCAGCCACTTTAGGCATACACTTTGTAAGTATGCACAACGTGTGTGTGCACAGACATCCACACTTAATCATAATCATTTCTGCAGAGAAAGGGAGAGTAAGAGATCAACTGGGGCCAAATCCCAGAATGCACTGCACTTCAGTCTCCATGACATCAATCAGGTTTTGCTTGCTCGGCACAATCTGCCACAAGGCTGATTTCAGAGTAAAAAGCATAAAGGCTGTTCCAAAAGACACCAGGGTTGTAGTTTGTGTCCAGTGTCCTGCCGAGTCTCCGACTCAAAATAAACTAATTAGTTACTGTGAAATAGTTTTCTGCACTGAAGACCATCAGAACTGTCCTAACAACTTATCATGACAGAATTAAAAGGTGAGTGAAACCACAAAACAAATTTAAACACCTCACTCTTAGCATTTCACAGAATGTTCTATGAAAGGTGATGCACCAGGGAACTGCAGATATTTTCCACCTACTGGTGATGGCAGTACAGGAAAGGCTTTGCCAAGTGAACTGCTGATGCTACTAAAAAGAATGAGGTATTTGTACTGTATTTACAGAGTGCTACACCTGGAGTGGTAACGTTGCCATTTCAGAATCATCTTGTTCCTGAGGTAATTTGGGCGCCCAGGCACCTGCGCTCACTCCTGAGATCTGGTGCTGCTGCACAGCACTGCTCAGTGGCAAAAGGCAGTACTGCCAGTGTTTGATTAGATAATGAGAGGACCTAAATCCCACAGGTTTGGGACTGGCTGAACTGAAGATCACTAGGGAGGATTTAAAGATTAGATTCTCATGCTTATGTAAAACACACTCATCTCCCTCCCTCTAACACATGCTTGTTCTCACTCCAGATTTAAAGATTAGATTCTCATGCTTATGTAAAACACACTCATCTCCCTCCCTCCCACACTCCGTCACCCCCTCCACCCCTACGTTCTCATTTATTTAGTCTTCTTTGCCTTTTTGTTTTGGTCTTTCTGGTTTATATCAGTGTATCAATAATTTCCTGATTACCTATTGCTTTTACTCTGCTACTGTGAAGCAGGTTAACAAATATCAATACATCAAGGTACTGTGCATATGGCACAAAAAGTACTTGTCCTACTCTTCTCTAATGAAATAAGAACTGTTTGCAGCTCAACACTGTAGTCACCATTGATCACCACAGTTAGCTAGGTCAAACATTGGTTAATGAACCGTGCTGGCTATTAAGGTGCTTCCTATTTAATGCAGTACAGTACCCTTTTAAATTATTTATCTTCTGAGAAATTAATAGTTTCTATTAACAAGGTACATTCCATTTTTTGAGAAGGGTGTGAGATTTCAATATTATGCTTGAATGTTTTGTTGAAGAGACTGTAGGCCTAAGTAAGTCCAAGTTTGGTATTCCCCTTCTGTAAAGAGTGAAGAAATCTGAAACCTGTACTTCACCTCCTTAATTTGAACTTAATAGTTTGTCACTCTTGTGTTTTAAAGCATTTACCTCCAAGACCTCTGATTATTACGGCCAAATCAATCAGTATTATTACCTTTATGTATAAGTTACCTGAGAAAGAGTTCCAGATGTTTGACCAGGGCTCGAAGATTCCTCTCAGGAATCTGCATCTTTCCCAGGATCTCAGGAAGCTTCACTGGAAGTAAAGCTAAACAGTGAGTAAAGGAACAGAAAGAAACTGCACAAAGTGTCAAACAGGAATGTGGTCAAAATCATAAAATAAGGAAATTTCTCCGTCCATCACTAAAATGAAGCCATTCAATCTGTGAAACCAGTGAAACAGCTGGTGTAAAATAGTCGGACACCAACCAAAAAGGCGCAAGAGGTGCTGTGATCCATACAGGTAGGAAGGTGGAGGAGGCTGGTCCTTCAGAGGGTAGTTATCTGGAGTCAGCTTCCAGCTTAAGACCTGGTTGAAATATTAAGATAAAAAGCATTTAACAAAAAATTTAGTTTCACTCTGTCGTCATTACAATAAGCATTGCAGGTTCGGAGAAAAACATGTTTACAATTTCAAAACACCATAGATAGGTCTGAAGTGACTACATTTAAAGGTTATGATCAATGTCAATTATGTTCCTACTGATTACACAGTGTGAACATAACATGGCAATATGCCTATGTAAATAAATCAACCACATGCAAGGATCACTCTCACTCAATACTTCTTGGACCCGACACATGCATTTCATACAGGTTACAACATTTTCTTCTTTGCAACAAAGGAAGCCATTAATATAACTATCCTAGTATTTTCCAGCAAGATATTGGTTCCTCTCCAGGTATGTGCATCACCTCATTAAGTTCATTGTTTCTGTGACTCTCCAGTCCATAGAAAGGTCCACTTCTTTCTTTGCTCGGAGTCAAGGGCAATGGGGAAGATGACCCACTGTGCACTGGGGTTTCTGGGTAAAGAAAATAATAAAAAAACAAACACATTTACTAACACACTTCTCTCAACAATATTTTGAGACATCAAAGTTTTTCTTTGGAGAGCACAGTTCTTAAGTACGTGAGAGGGGGCAGACGTGGGAGGAAACAATGGGATGGCACCATCTACTGGGCCAAACTAGTTATTACTAACAGAACGAGCTGTTACTTGACTCAACATGCCAATACTGAATGTGTCATGAAATGCACAACTGCAATAATAATCTGATAAGGATCAGCTTGACTTGGCAAACACAGGTATAGCTAACAGTGTTAATGATAGAACTGAGCCATTACTATGTTTATCTTTATTAACTGCATCTGTGCTTTTCAGTTTGTGTTGTTAAAAATGTCTAATCTGAAAAATGTTAACTTCTTTTCAACTGCTTTTCTTATAAATGAGGATGTGGTTCACAGAGTGCACACACAAACATGGGACAATGAATAACCCTATTAAAGGTTAAAATAAAACACTCTTATTTAGATAAAAATAAGGCTGCCGAATATTATGTCAACACAGTCGTTCACTTATCAGATACTAAATGTTCTGAACAGAAATACATCAAAATAGTTCACAACAGTATATACCACACTGTAATTTTAAACAGAATGTCAGCTTACTTCTGTCAAGGTTGATGAAGAATTTGGACTGGGATGAAGTGTCAACCAAAAGGCGTTTAAGCTGTGGGGACGCTGTGGCACTGCCTCCACCTGAAGTATTATATACACTGAATTACAGAACTGTCCATTCTCTGTAAGTGGGAAAACTTGAAAAATCAGCAGTGTATCAAATACTTACCGTATTTTCCGGACTATAAGTCGCACTTCTTTCAGGTTTGGCTGGTCCTGCGACGTATACTCCAGAGCAACTTATGTATGATTTTTTTTAAATATTACCGTAGATTGAAATTTCACATGTTCGTTATTTTCACACTGACTCGAGCAGCAGAAAGAAAGTTTGGAGTGAACGAGAAACTTGTGAGGGACTAGTGAAAAGCCGCTTCATGCAACGCAACCGCCTCTCTATCAGAGCACGGACAACGATGTCCCAAAAACTGCCAGCAGACTTCCAAGCCAAAGTCGACAGTTTCTGCGAGTTTCTTGAAAAGCAAGTAGCTGAGCGTAACGTGACACCGGATCATATTATTAACATGGACGAGGTCCCCGTTTGACATCCCCATGGGCCGAAGTGTCGCAGAGAAAGGGCAAAAGAGTGTGAATATAGTGACAACTGGTCATGAGAAATTACACTTCACGGCAGTGCTAGCATGTTGTGGAGATGGATCAAAATTGCCACCAATGGTCATTTTTAAATGGAAAACCATGCCAAATATCCAATCCCCCGCAGTTGTCGTGGCCGTGAATGAGAAAGGGTGGATGGATCAAGATATGATGAACGTTTGGCTTACAAAGTGCTACACTAAGCGTCCGGATGGCTTCTTTAGAGCACGCAAAGCCTTGCTTGTGATGGACAGTATGCGAGCGCACATCACGCCACAGTTCAAAAATAAATTAAAGGTTTTCAACACCATCCCTACCATCATCCCTGGAGGCTTAACCAAAGTACTCCAGCCACTTGACATTTCGGTGACCTAGAGCTTTAAGGCAGTCTTGCGTCAGCTGTGGGAGCAGTAGATGACGGATGGAGAACACAGCTTCACGGCAACCGGGAGGATGCGCCATGCAACTTTCCTGGAAGTCATTGGATGGATCAACAAAGCATGGGCTTCAGTGACAACCGAAACCATACTGTCGGGATTCAGAAAGGCCGGAATAATAACTGGGACTGATGCTGAGTCTGACGACAGCCATGCAGAAGAGGAAGCGGCGCGCCCTCTACTTCCGGAGTTGGCGGAGATGTTTAGAAGTGACACCGAGGATGAAGAATTCAATGGATTTAGTAGTGATTTGGAATGAGATCGACAGTTTGGTAAACTTATGTTATATTCTTTATGCTATAGTTATCTGAATAACTGTTAATATGTTACGTTAACATACCGCCTATTCACGTTACGTTAACAGACGCATATTCAGCCTGTTCTCCATTTTATTGTTATTAAGATAACTTGCCTTTCAAGATGAAATGTATGTTCTTGGTCTCTGATTTTATGAAATAAATTTTCCCCCAAAAAGTGCGAATTATAGTCCAGTGCGACTTATATATGTTTTTTTTCTTCTTCATTATGCATTTTTTGGCTGGTGCTAGGTATACTCAGGAGCGACTTATAGTCCGGAAAATACGGTATTTGCCCCACTGTATAAGAATAGAGCGTACAATGCACTGTTAGATTAGCACCAATCAAGTAAAACCTGATTACCTCCACTGCTTCCTTCAGGTGGCCGGTCACCTCCAGATGTATTCCTGGTGGAGCGTCTGAGTGACTGAGACTGGTATGAGATGCAGTCCATGTCAGGGTGGCGCCGGCGCTTTGGAGTGGGGACTGGAGCAGTGGGCGTGGTGGCAGAGATGTCACTCAGTGCTGGCTGACTGTCTGTGGACTGAGGGGTAGGGGGGTTTTGCCCCAGAGGGCTTGGGCTTCGCTCTCGCTGGGTACTTTGAACACAAAGGGAAAGAAAAAGGCAGTTAAACTTTCAGTTTAACATAGGCACAAAATACAATACAGTAACAGCCAAGCACAAATCTCAGATACAGCGCATACGACTTAGCTTATGATGGCATACTTACTTGCTGGAGCAGGGGGAGTTTTCACTCATGGTCATGAAGAGCCTAGAGGAGCTGACCTTTTTGAATTGAGCTTGTTCACAGGGGTAGAGGAGGATCATGGGCAAGGTGAAGTCAAAAGTGATCCTCAAACCATCAACCATTTCCTTGCACAGCTCTTCACTTAAGAAAAAAAACAATGATTAGTTAATGTTCAAATTTGTTTTATCATTATGGGGAAAGAAGTCATTGGAAAAAACTATTATAGTCTGGTGTACTATATTTAATCTTAAATGGAACATTTACATTAGATCAAGACCTGTTTATGGTTTCTGGTGTCCTTTGAAGTGACACGCTTCTATTTATACTACAATCAAGGGTAAACACATGCTGAGATGTTACACACATGTACAGAAATTCTGGACAGCACATGGACCCTTGCAGAATTAGGCAAAAGATGCAATTTAGGTTACGGAGACTGACACAGACAAAGAAAGATCTGGCTTTAAGACTCAGTACATCTTGACCCTGCACATTATTCCCACTCCCATTTTTCCCTGCAGACCTACCTCTTCTCTGGGGAGACCGACTGTGGACTGCTGCTCTGGGTTGTGCCCTGCTGCCGCCGATACCTTTCATTGGCCATGAATGCTTTGTTGATGGCAAAGTGCTTCACGTAAGACTCCAGGATGTGGACGACATTTGTCTGACAGGGAACCATTACCAGCTTGAAGAGACAAGGGCAGTCATTTATAGACATGATTCAAGTCAGTTCAATTTAAGCAAGCTTCCAGTTCTGACCATGCCCACTAGAAAAACCAGTATCAAGCTAGTCATAATTAGTATTTTCCCAATATCATCCATTTATAAGTCTTGCACACAAATATGATCCCGGGAACCACTGATGTAATGTAAGCAACCTGTTTTCTTAAAATAATGCTATAAATTGCAACAAAATACACAGAACTACTTAAACACTTCTGTATGTACCTTCTTCCTCTTGTTGATATAAAAGCAGTCATCCTCCAGTTTCTTCTTCAGAATATCAGGGATGTTGATGTCAACATGGACAACTTTCTCCTCACATTCCCTCTTAACATTAATGTCTGGTTCAACCCCCTGAAACAAACAAGATATGAACCTTCAAGTATAAGGTCCAACACAAGCCATGTTTAGCTTTTCTGTTTTGGGGTCTATAAGCCAATTTATTTTTCTACAAGCTGGTCGCAATAACAGGATCAAATAAAGGCCTTAAATGCCAATGTGGGTGTGTACAATCCAAGACAGAGAATGAAGTGATGGACCATTTTGTTGATATCCTCAGAGAAGTTGCTGTCCCCACTATTTGAAGATTCAGGGTCAGAATCGTCCCCGTCAGTGCTCCCTGAAGATGAACTCAAACCTGGAGAATAAGAAATACAGAGGGATTAGCGTGATTTCTGGGGGAGACTGGGAGCCAAGGACAAAGAGGGAGATTTCTCACATGCGTCATCACTGTCGTCCTCCTTAGGGAGAGTCTTCAGAGAAGATTTAGTACCAGACTGACGACGACGCCTCTTCACCCATCCCTTTCTCTTCCTACCACCATGAAAGGAAACAAAACACACACACACGGTCAGTATAAATCTCATGTATAGATGCCAAACAAACAGAAAGATCCAAACTTATGGTTATATACAGTGACATAACTGGACGTGCATTTTGCGTTACAAGTGCCATGTACAGTATTTTCACCATTTTTGAAAGAATAATAGAAACGTACAGTATCTCAGAAAAAAAGAGTTCATATTTGAAGATTATTTCCATGAATGAATAGACAAAAACTTACATGCGACCTAGAGCTTTGCGAGCCAGTTTATGTTGCAATTTACGGTTTTCCTCAGTGTCCCTCAGGACATGATCCTCTGCAGCCCAACGATCCCAGCTACACAAACAGACAAAAAGGAAAAAAAAAAAAAGACATGCATTGTTTTGATAGCAGTGGTTTTCATCTACATGACTACACAAGTTGAAGAACATGAATTTTGCATGAACTACAGCTAAAGTTAGAATTAATGTTACCTCCTGTTCCAACCATTGAAGTGAATCAGGTACTTTGGGATCCTTCTTCCATGTTCATCAGTGTTTATCAAGATATCAATGACCTGTAAAGGAGACCGACAACAATAAGGTCAAGCTTGCTAAAAGGTGCATATACTCATAATTCAGGTGGTGTCAATACGCCAACACTTAGGCCATGTTAACAAAGATGAAATGTAAATTTACTTATTTTATCATTTGCATTTAAAAGGGCAATTTTGTACTTTTTACTCCACAATATTTTATTCTGTTGGGTAGTTATTACTTTGCAAATCAAGATGTTACATTAGTGACAATGCTGATTCCAGAATATATTTGAAGTAGGAAAAAAAAAAGACAATTCATCTATTATCAGTGATTGTGAAGGCAATTAAGCATTATGACAACTTCGCGAAATAAAGCATTGCTATTTTATACTTGTTAATTACTTACTCCTAACATTAAATGAAAAAGATAACAAATGATGTAATGAAACAGGGGCATTCCTCGTCTGTCTTTTGACACTTAATGCAACTACATTTTGCTGCAAGAATGTTGAATGCAGTTGTACTGGTATTGTTAACTGGCTTTTAGTTTACAATATTGCCACTTTAAAAAAGACGAGGTCTTAATATAACAAATGCACAAACGTGTAGCGTTGGTTTCCAGTCAATGCTAACTGTTAGCTACCCGTTAGCCAAAAGTCAAGCTAGAATGCGTTGATGTCAACACACTGAACTGACATTAGCTAGTTAGCCACCTATAGAAAATAGCACTGCACTCCCAGAAAACGCTACTCAAACTCAGCAAAAGTATTTTTGTCTTCTGAAACCCATTGACATTGTCGTTTTAGCTGGCATTAACGCGCAGTACCATTAACATGCATTGCAAAAGTCAATGATGGCTAATTTGACTTTAGCTTGACGGGCCGACATTAAAAGTGCTTTGGACGACAACGTTGCCCACCTAGTTAGGCTACTTTATTGTACTAACGTTATAAAGAACGTGTCACATTCATACAAATACCGTTAACGCGTGTACTGATAATAGTTCTGGCCGAAATGTCTCATCGAACAGCCGCCTTTAAAATTAATGCTAACAGCTAAAATAGCTTTAGTTATCTTCTCTGCTTAAATCAAACACTTCCAAACGAATCGTACAAACCAAATCTACCAGAAATCATGCAAGGAATCTCGACAGCGTTACGCTGATAGTTAACGATATATCTAGGCCCAGCCTTAAGTGCTATTCACGGTCGACTCACAGCATAACATTATCCCATACCCAAGAAAAACAACCCTGTTTTCCCGTGTAAATAATTCGTTTGTACAAACTCGAAACACAGAATGGCTGCACTAGCTTACATAAAATAGTTACCTTAGCGTCATACAGCACTTTAGCCTTAGTAGGGTCCGGTTCAAAGCACAGAACTCTTTCTCCTTTGTGAAATTGATATTTAATTCCCCGCGAATTCATTTGTTCATGGCGACGTGTGGGATCCTATAATCTTTTTAACCCTTTCCTTGCCCAACACTTCTTATGAGGGGGTCTCCCATCAAAACAGCCAACGTAGGGGACGGCGCTGTTGTGGAGTAAGTGAGCTGACTGCTTCTTCTTCGTCCTCAAATCTTAATAGCCAGTCGCAAACCGGGTAGGCATGGCGCCACCTAACGCGCCGGCATGTGCACATCAGGATTTTATCTACATCGGATATTAAAAAGGAACCAGTCTATTACAGAGGTTAGGTTAACTGAATATTTTCTGTCCATCCATCCATCCATCCATCCTTTGACAGATTTTTTTTATAGTGATCTGAAACACTAATCTCATGCTTCGGAGACAGTAGTGCTGACCACTGCATAACCTTACACTGTGTCACTCTGCTTTCTGTCTCATTGGCTTTCCGGTTAGGGGGATGCATCACATGTAAAATCTCATATCAGAAGGGATTGGGTGAAGTCATGTTACCACAACATTTCTGCAGTTATTTGACACTGACAGTGTGATAATTATGGAACTGTCTTAATAGTTAAAATGAGAATAAATTCTAAGCTTAAGCACATACCCAGTTTAAGTACCTGTAAAGGGCCTGTACAACCCTTAAATTGTCTCCTTGCCACAAACTGATTAAAGGCATCATAATTAAACTGAAAGTGGTTTACTTCGTAATATTACAATTCACTCTTGTATGTTATATTTTAAAGATTATCATTCATGTAGTCTACCTGTTAAAGTAACCAAGAGTGTCCTTCACATGTAGTACACATCCCCGAAAATCTCCTTCATGTGTTGCACACATGTTACTGCAGCATATACTGATTTTTTTTTCTACTACGCTTCCCCTCTCTTGAGTCATTAATCACACAAAACATAAATGAATCAAAAAAGACATGACTAAAACAAACATATCAATTTGCTGAGATTTAAGATATGTCATCATAGACAGACACTGGAATAAAGCAAGGTTGTTTTTGTGAGACCTAGTGTCTTCAGAGTCATGAGCAAAGCATAAGTAATGAAATCATTCAAAAACACATAAATTTAAACAAAGGCTTCTTCATCTGAGAAAGCAGAGTCGCTATTTGCAGTGAGTGGAGACCATGATGGGTTAGGGAACAATTCAGATGTATTATCAGCTTCCTTTGGGATTAGAACATATTAACCCACAATCTGCCCCACGTACCTGGCAATTAGAGCTTTCATGCAGGTGAGCAAAACAGTACAAAAACAAATCATAAGGGCCATCACAGCAAAGACAGGAATTAGAATTTGGAAAAGAAATGCCCAAAATTATCATGCAACCACTCCATAATGGACCATCCTGAATGTTCTTGGAAGTGATTGTCTCTAAAATGTTCACTAACTGAGTAATGTTATCATGAGGATCTGGTGCTAAAACAGAACATGCAGAGCCTGTAAGGTTCAAAGCGGCATACATACCCACAACAAAAAAAAATCAAGCACCATTTCATTCTTCATTATCATCAGAATCAGAATCAGAATCTGCTTTATTGGCCAGGTGTGTTGGACACACAAGGAATTTGACTCTGGTACATCGGCTCTCATTGTGCAAACATGGTTTCTCCTATGGTTTCTTCCCGCATTAAGTTTTTTAATAGCAATGTGCTGAATGGTTCAGTGAGATTCTCTATTGGAATAAGTGTAAGGGGTGCAGTGATTTGTACTAAACAACAGCAAACAGTGTAAGCTGGTGGCAGAAAGGTGTAATAATAGTCTCCACAAACCCATGCATGATCTTTAATCATTCCTAATCCTGGAGTGAATGCGACAACTGACATGTCAGAAAGATTTTGTGGCAGTGTCAGATTTTGTCAGGTCTGCTCGGTGCCACCTGCCCCTCTCTCCATTTTTATCCTTTCTTTTTTCCTTTCTCTTTCTCTCTCTCGCAGGTCTAGGCTCCGGTGGTGTACACAGTTGGGGCACATTCACCTGATCAATGACTCCCAAGTTGCGACACGGCTGAGGCACATCACCTAAATACCCTCTCCCTTTTTTTAGGTGCTGGCAACGAGAATATCTGGGAATAATTTCTGTTAACAATGCCTTAGCCACTGCTTGACTACTTGGATATACGTTCCGACTCTCACTTATGGTCATGAGCTTTGGGTCATGACCGAAAGGGCAAGAACCCGGATACAGGCGGGCGAAATGAGCTTTCTTCGCCGGG